AAGAACTAAAGTTACAGATATCAGCCGTACAGTCAGAAAGGGACCGTCTCATATGTTATTTTCTAAATACGTCGGTGATAACATTCATATTAATAAAGAAAGAAGATTGAAATCATACAAGAGACGCATTGTGGAAAATTTAACTACGGCGTGACCCCTCATCTCATGAAGAACAAAGTCGCTGCAAAAGATATGATAATGATAATGATGATATCGATATGATTACTAGCTGAGTCTGCAAGGTGAATTCAGCTGCGAAATTTGTACTACATTACACTTGTTTCAGTGACCGGATCAGTGTTTGTAGTAAGTAGTAATAGTAACAGATAAACAATAATCTGCAAAATGACGTCTTAAACCACGTTTTCTGTAAATTATGACAATGTTTTAATTACATATACATTACTTGTCCAGAGACATTCTTTTGTTGTAAAAATTTAGTTTATTGAAATTGTAAAGACTAGATAAAATGTTCATTTAATAAACAAATTGATAACATAATGTCATATCGAGTGCTTGTCATTGCATAACGTTCAAGAATTGGATACTATCCAATCTATCAACAACCGAATAGCTATTTTAGCCATCAAACAACCAAACATTACCATCATCCGATAACCGAATACCGAATAACCGAATACCGAATAACCGAATACCGAATAACCGAATAACCGAATAACCGAATAATTCGGTTTTCATCGAATATTCGGTTCTTGAAATATGTAGTACCCTTCCCGTTTTTGAAACATACCTCGTTCTGACACATTGCACTCGGTTTCTTTTAGCTATCTTGCAACAGGATGTATACCATTCTTGTCATATCAAACCCCCCCCTTTTCCCACAGCCATTCGCCTCACTTTCTTCAATGTCACATACTAATAAACAAATACATTAAGCAGTTTATAAGGCAATTTATTTGGCTGATTGTTTTCGTTGATGCATTGGGTTTGAGTTGTCTGAGGTAATTGGTCTGAATAATCGGATAACCAAATAAGTGAATAATCTTTTATTCGAATCTACTTGGATAATGTTTGGACATTTGATTGGTTATTCGGGTTGGAGTTAGGGTTAGGGTTCCGGACGTTACTTGTGGATATTGGCTTATTAGATTTGCAATAAGATAAAAACCAAATATTGTCTAATTATAGTGGATTCTATCATAATTGCAACAGGGCAAAATTTACAAAAAAAAACCTAAAACTTTTACATATACTTTTTGTACACATTACTTTTCAACTCATTTAAACAGTAAATCTCAACTTAGGCGAGATTGAAGTTCCATACCATACTATATAATAACAAATCCTTAAAAATGGTTTACAAGTAAGCCTACATATTAAGAGACTACGAAGAGACCGCAATACCGGTGTCGATTAAATAAAACAACATTTATCTTTACTAATAATGTTTTTTTTTCCCTTAAAAAAGATATTTGCTATTGCAGGCACAAAAAAGGAGTGTAAATTAAAAAGCGCCAGTACAAGAGTAGAAAAAAAACAAACTCATAACCTGATTTCTGCCAGAGATTTTTATAAATATAAATACGCTTAGAGCTTCATCGTCAAAGATCATTCCAAATTTTATTCATCCTGTTCAAAATAAAATACATCCTTTTTTAAGTGCCCAATAATTGATACGATCGAACTATTAATTAAGGCGGCAACGCTCAAAAAGACATTAGGATGCTGTTATAAAACATATTATTACCTAACTTTGTTAATCGGTCGAGGCAATAAAATAAATAGATAGTGGAAAGTGACAAATTGACTAATCAAATGCCCAATTTTATTCCCTTTGATTAACGTTTATTAAATTAGTATGACAACGTTGGCTATATATAGGAATTATATAACGCGTAAATATATACAGTACTCGCCATAAATACTGAAATAACTAGAATTGGTTTTTTTGACCACAAATTTTGTGAGCTTGAATTATGGCTTCACAAATACATAGATATGATATCAATACACAAAAAATATATGTACTAATGATTTATTTTTTTTCCCCATCATTTTCAATAACTTCATTCAGGCATTCTGACATCCCATTTACTAAATTAATTCTGTAGAGACACCCTCCCATTCTTCTCTAATCAAATGCCAGCGTTCAACACTAATGGTTTTTTCTTTCCTAATTATTTTATGAACCCGTTTCTCAAGTCTCTTTTTTATAACAGCCCACAGGTTCTCTATTGGATTCAGATCGGGGTTATAGGCGGGACCCGGGCCGGGAGGCAATCATAACATCGACAATCACTTCGCAGACGTTCTATTTCGCAGACAACCATTTCACCGACAGGATCATTCATCGACAATCATTTCATCGACAATCATTTCATCGACAATCATTTCATCGACAACCATTCCACCGACAGGATCATTTCATCGACAATCTATCGACAATCACAATCATTCATCAACAATCACAATCATTCATCGACAATCATTTCATAGACAACAATCCTTTCATCGACAACAATCATTTCATCGACAATCATGTCAATTTGTAGATTAGATAAAAGATATTTATTAAGCAATGTCAATTATGTATGTATACTAAAGTTGTTATAAAAACGGTTGTTAAAGGTTATATTGTGCTAATTAATATAACAAATAAGTGATCGTGTTCTTACTAACGAGTTTATTAGTATGTATTGTAAGAGCCGCTTGAAGTATTGACTCTATGATTATCGAACTTTTTGTAGATCTGTCGACAGTAATTTTAGTAGTTTACGGTTATATAGTAAATGTAGTCGCTTTTTGTCAATGTGTGTGGACTAATCGTCTAACCATACGATGGTTTTTGCTTAAAATTATTGGTACAAGTTTTAGCATTACGGTTAGACTATAAGTAAAGTTCTATTTGACATTGAAAATTATTGGTACGAGTTTTTAGCATTATGGTTAGACTGTAAATATTAATATAGTCTATTTTGATCTTAACGATGATTTGCATTGAAAATCATTGGTACAAGCTTAGACTGTGAATATGGTCAATGTTGTCTAACCGCATGTTGGTTTGCATTAAAATTATTGGTGTAGTTTTTAGCATTACGGTTAGACTGGACTGTATTTGATCTAACCATACGATAGTTATCGACATAATTGGTGTGCATCACGGGACTGTAAATATAGATTGGATTGCATATGATATTTATCTAACTAATATACAATATTGCAATTTGACAGGTTAAACGAAGACTAAGACTTTATGACATTTGATCCCGTTATTTAATAATGCGATACGAATGCTTGACATTAATTTCAAATACCAAATTCAGACATAATACATATTCATAAGCCACGTATTAGTATATTATTACTTTACACAGGCTGGTTGATAAATGACGTGCCATGTTAAACTCTGAAAATAGCATATTTGTTGTATGTAAATCACTATGCCAAGGTCCCCAAAATAACAAAACAAAACAAAACAAAACAAAACAAAATCACTGATTAGTGATAAATTTTTTTTTTACCGACTGAAATCTGTTGAGTATACTAATAATGATAAATTTACTTCGAAATCATGATAGCGGTATGAGGTACATTTGACATGAAGTGCGGCAATGTACCACCTATTTTCTGAATAACAATGCAATTCTTCATATGGTAGTTGATATAACATACACTTCGAGCTACAAGATATCGACGATGGCGTCATAGATGTATCTTATCAGTTGGTTACATAACGCCGAGCATAAAAGTAAATTTTTGTGACGATAAATAACAATGGCAATGGTGGGGGCAGTTCGATAAAGAGGCGGGTTCCAAATTCATATCATATATCATGTGATAAAGACGGAACATTGACTTTAACGAAAAATACTTTAAAGATTTTTCTGAAATTTGCTACATCGATAATCTACAGTAAACAACGTATCCGAATGTTATTGTAAATAGCGTGTTAGATAGAAGGGTGGATGTATTTGCCTTGGACGAAGTTAGGAAATTTGCCGATCCCATCACTAATAACATAACACATCGTAACATACCTCCATCAACTACTGATAATATTCTCTCGACATTGTGAACAGTTAATAAGGTATTGAAGAACAGAACTCCCATTAAGATCAGTTAACATCTGCTAATGAGGATACTGTAACATCGATGTCATCATTATCGTTATACCGTATATCAGTTATGATTATTGGTATATCTCACGCGACTGATGAAAAGCTTTGTTCTTAACGATGCTTCAACGGATCTTTTCATATAGTCAAACTTTATGAATCAGTACAAAGTGTATGTCTAACAGTAACGATTACTCGTATGGTATATCGCGAACTTTTATTCACAACGAGGTGCTCGCTAAAGCCCAGTTTTATCTATTTACATATCCTGTAAAAGAAGAGCATATTCTGTTTATGGCTATATTAATGAGACTGGGAGTACCTGGGTCAGATTGCTCGTATGGTAAAACTCCCCCAGGTAAAGGCATAGTTTGTAGATCAAGTAACATTACACAATTGTTGTGGACATATCCGGTGACCCACGAGATACAACAGATTTTGTTGGTGGACCGAAATTGCCTCCAATACAGTTTAAGGGAGGGACGTCATTTTGCAGATTTATTGTTTGTCTATTACTATTGCCATAACAGGCAGTTGACAATACTAAGCGCAATATATTGACACCAAACTCTGATCCGTTGATATTGAAAATGAATCATGCGATTTTGTGTGCAATGCGAGATTTCCAAATGAGTTGAGGACTTATCGTTATAATATCTGATATCACGAGATATAGCAGATTTTGTTGGTGGATCGAAATTGAGGCAAATTTGCCTCCAATACAGTTTAAGAGTGGCTTTATTTTTAGCAACCTTCGGATACCCCTGTGGTTTCCTTACATCTCACTGACCCGTGAAGCAGAATGATGAACTTGGTTAGTCTTGGCAATGACCATCCCCACATATAAATTGATTGCTGGATCATATACCAGAAGCTATTCGATTATTAACGTCCTTCGTTGTCTTTGCAAGAAATTTTTTAAAAATGTCGGAAAATCGACAAAGAGAAGAGATCGAAGTCGCATCTACCAGAATACCGTTAAAGAGGCACTCATCTCAACTCAGCGTCGAATACAAGACACTTACAATCAAGCTTGAAGAAGCACGTACAAAGACTATCGATGTCGATGATAAAAGAATCAAGGAAGAACTCGATATTAATTATCATAAACTGACTCTTAATGAACTTGGTCTTCGCTTTGCCACTTCTATTTCATCGGGGATTTCTTCATCATCGGCCGCCCGCAGATTACAACGTAATGGAAAGAATGCTATCTCTCCACCCGAGTCAAAATTGCTTACCAAAATTTTCGAATACACATTCGGTGGCTTCTGTCCATTGCTGTGGTTTGCATCATTAATATGTTTTCTTGCCTGGAAACCTCTCGGTGAACCTACTCCCGACAAACAGAATCTGGGCCTTGCTATTCTTCTTTTGATTGTGATCTTTCTCCAAGCGGTTTTTAACGGTTATCAAGACTGGACAACAAGCTCTGTAATGAAGTCAATCAACAAAATGTTGCCTTCTACGGCAATTGTCACACGGGACGGAAAGGAGCAAACGGTTCCCCTCTCAAATCTTGTTGTTGGCGATTTGGTCCATCTGAAACTTGGAAACAAAGTACCTGCAGATATCCGAATAACAGAGCAGATTGATCTCAAATTCGACAAGTCTATACTATCTGGAGAATCCAAGCCAGTCAGTGCCAGTACTGAACAGACCAATGAAATTTATCTTGAATCACGAAACATCGCGTTGATGGGCACACTTGTAACAATGGGTGGAGGATCGGGTATCGTTGTGGCTGTTGGCGATGGTACTGTTATGGGGAAATTGGCCAAATTGTCATCACATGGTTCGCAAGACAAAACGCTTCTGCAGAAAGAGATTACCCGATTCGTAATTGTCATTACGACGCTGGCCGTCCTCACTTCAAGTTTGACACTCATTGTTTGGGGCACTTGGTTAAGGCACTCCTATCCGAATTTTATTAATTTACCAATGGCGCTTATAAATGCAATTGGGGTTCTTGTGGCTTTTGTGCCTGAAGGGCTTCCGATTGCCGTAACATTAACTCTTACTCTGGTCGCTAGAAGGATGGCAAGTCAAAAAGTATTAGTAAAGAACCTGACTGTCGTTGAAACCTTGGGTTCTGTGAACGTCATTGCGAGTGACAAGACTGGTACCTTGACTCAGAATCGGATGGCGATTACCAATGTCCACATAGGCCAGGACTCGTACAATCAAGGTGAATGTCGCCAGGCCCAACTTGAGAAATCTCCAGGTTTTTCTCAGTTGATTTCTGTCGGACGTCTTTGCAATGCTGCCTCTTTTGATCCAAGTACAATGAGTCTCTCGATTTCTGATCGATTGGTACTGGGCGACGGCACCGATGCAGCTGTTCTTCGATTTGTTACCGAGTATGCCATTGACGAAACAGAAGTTGGTAATTTTGACAAGATTGCCGAGATACCATTCAACTCGAAAAACAAGTGGATGTTGCGTATCATGAGGCCCAAAAGTGCTAGTAACGTGTATAAAACCGCTTGTCCTGTCTTGATGATTAAAGGTGCACCAGAAGTGTTGTTCAATAGTTGTACACGAATTATCGATGCCGATTGCAACGAGAAACCTTTTGGTGAATTTGAGCGACAATCCCTAGTTAACGTACAGGAAAGTTGGAGCTCTTCTGGTCGACGTGTCATTGCCCTTTGTTACCGCATCATCAAGAACGAAAACGAGATTCCTAAAGACTCTCACGACTTGGAAGCACTTGAAAAACTTGCATACAACTTGACGGTCGTCGGACTTGTGGGGATTCTAGATCCACCTCGCAGGGAGATTCCAGATGTTATAAGAACCTGCCGCGCTGCCGGTATCAGAATATTTATGGTTACCGGGGATTATTTTTTAACTGCTACTGCTATTGCCAAACAAGTTGGGATCTTTACTGCCGAGGATGTGCATACAATCACTGATCTCGATCAGCTATCGGCAAAGTTGGAAATTGTCACTGAGAAGGAACCGAGGGTCGTAACTAATGGCAAAGGAAAGGCTACCGGGGGGGCTCTCCTGTTAAACGGAAGTGATTTGATATCCTTGTCCGAAAATCAATGGGATCTGGTTGCTGCATATGATGAAATTGTCTTTGCTCGTACAACTCCCGAGCAGAAATTAAGCATAGTCCAAGAGTTTCAGAAACGTCATTGTACTGTTGGAGTAACTGGCGACGGTGTTAATGATGCTCCTGCTTTAAAGGCTGCTGATATTGGTATTGCCATGGGGAGTGGAAGCGAAGTCTCGATCGAAGCTGCAGATATGGTGCTCATGGACAGCAACTTTTCATCGGTCGTGGTTGCATTGGAAAGCGGTCGTCTGGTCTTTGACAATCTGAAAAAAGTCATTCTTTATTTGCTGCCAGCCGGTTCTTGGTCTGAATTGGTTCCTGTGCTCGTCAACGTGTTCTTGGGAGTTCCCTTGCCTTTATCGACATTCCTGATGATAGCTATTTGCGTGTTAACCGATATACTTCCATCTATCGCCATGATGTACGAAACACCTGAAAGTGATTTGCTTACACGTCAACCTCGTAATCCAAGGAAAGACCGTCTTGTGAATTGGAGGCTTCTTGTTCAAGCATATTTGTGCCTTGGCATGATCGAAACTTTCTTCTCGCATCTCATGTTTTTCTTTTACATGCATCGGTATGGAGGGTTTATGCCGTCGGATCTGTTGCTCGCTTATGATAAATGGACTGACGGCTATAAAGGTCACAGCATGGATGAATTGAACGAACTCAATTGGACCGGGCAGTGCGTATTGTTTGTAAGCTTGGTTGTCATGCAAGTTTTCGGTAATATCTTTGCAACTCGAACACGATACCTATCCTTGATCCAACACTCGCCAATTGCAAAACAGTCCAAAAATTACTATCTTTTTGGCGCTCAAGTTGGTTCTATCGCCATTGCAAGCTTTTTGGTATACGCACCAATGATAAATGACTCTTTACATACGCGTCCTGTTCCGGCGCAATTCTGGTTCATACCTTTGGGATTTGCCGCCGCCATTATTGCTGTCGACGAAACTAGAAAATTCTTTGTTCGGAGGCAATCGCCTGCTTTCTTCCACAAGATTGCTTGGTAATATCGATATTGCACATTAGAAAGTTTTATTTGTATATCTTTTTTTTTCCATTAGATTTTTAACGTTAGTTTATCTTAACTGTTGAGCCAGTAATAAAATGTAGTATGTGGGGACGTTCAAAAAGGTTTGACACAGTGCAATATCTCAGAGATTACTGATCATCTTGACTTGTATATAATCATATTAATAATAAAGCTCGAGTAAAAATCGAACTTATAAATTTTCGATAATTTGTTAATTCGATCGCTTAAATAAGCCAGTGCATATAAATAATACTATAATTATTATCCGACCATTAATATAATAAAAATTTCCCATCATACGTATTTTTTTCTTAAAACTAGATTTAGAATTTTATAGGGGGCTTCGCCTCTTGTGGCTGTTAAGAAGCGAATACGTTTAATTTTATACAGTAATAAAGATATACATACTTATTGTGATGCTGAAGTCCACATGTTCGATTTCTATTACCTAATTGTCGTGGGCTCATTATCTCAAATTACGTTCATTGTCACAGATACATATTACCTTTTCAGAAAAGCAAAACTATCATAACTACGTTTGTTGAGAAGGGCACACATGATAAAAATACACATTTGCGCCACGTTATACTCCCAGTTGATAAGGGAGGGAACGATTAACGAATATATCATTACAAAATTTTCCCCTTTGTCTGTTAGTCTTTTAGGTGAGGAATATAGTCGCGTTATTGTGTATTTAGGATTACGCCAATGGCTCGTAACCAAGTTCGAGCAAGGGTTACATTTGTTGTAGACTTGGACATTTGAATAGTTTGATCTGTAGAGTGAAATAAATAGATGTTACATGACTGTTTAATTGAAAGAATGTAACCTAATTTATACGTACTGTATGGTGCATCGAAATAAATAGTAATTTTTTCTTTGTAATTTTTCTGGTACAAGAACATTTACAAGAATAATAGAAATATGGTATAAGTTATCAGATTAATTTTCACGTAATTTTTACTATGTTGGTATACTTGATAAGTTAAGTAAAAAATGGGTGGATACTTCTCGTGAAATTATTTGCCATACAGCGCTCAAATGTGAGATTGTAATTATGCATACTAACTAACGTTTTGGAGATAGTTGCAGCTCCGTGCATAACATCACATGGTAAACTCACTAATTATCTTCCGTTTCGAGTTCGTTATTATGATTTAGAACCTACTGAATAATATCTTCGTCATTTAACGTCCCGACAGAACTCTCCATGCCGTCGACAAGAATGTTTGCCAGGTTACGATACTGCTAAAAACGTTCCAAACCATATACAGTAAACTCTCCCTAAGTGCACTTTTAGAGAGAGTGTGCATTTACAGAAAGCAAAATATATAATGCTCTTATAAGCTGGGACTGAACTATACCATGCATTTATGGAGAGTTTATATAGTGTGCATTTAGGGAGGGTGCACTTAGGGAGAGTTCACTGTACTCATTTAACTGCCATACAAAAGAAGGAAATCTGTCAACGTCAAAAGATAAACCTATCGTTTCTGTGATGATCCACCAAACTCGTTTGTAATTTGAACGGTTGAAGTTTATTAATATTAAGAATCCGAATTAAAAGGAGTGAATTTGAATAAGCGTCCGAATTAACGTTTTTACCATATACAAGTGGCTCGCGATATAAAAAGGTGATCGGGACCCATAGTAAAAAATCTCTTATACCGAGAGTTTATTAGTACCTTTCTTATATAGAGATAGTCATATAGACTATTTTTTAGATCAACTTTCTTATATCAAATTTTAATTAGTGTTTCTTATTTCGAGAGCTTCTTATATCGAGTTTCACTTGTATAGGAATGATAGTCATTAAAGTTGTCTTTTACAATACTTAATTTATACGTTGATCGTGACAGCTGTCCGAACCGAATTATCGTAATATAATAAGTATCGGACGAATAAAAGGAAGAATCTGACATGAAAAAAAGAGTCCGCCGTTAAAAGTCCGGACTATCGGAAATCCGAATTAAAGGGGGACGAATTAACGGCAGTTGACTATACTCCCAATTCTCCGGTATAACGCATGAGGAACTATTATAAATTGCTATGAAAAAGTCAAAAAAAAAAAAAAAAAAAAAAAAAAAAAAAAACGCTCGCAATAAAGTGAATGACCGCCAAAGGAGCTATTTTCACGGATCGAAATTAATTTACGACTGAGGAATTAACTGACTTATCTGGTAAATTAGCCAAGATAAAAGAATATCTCGATTGCTAATTACTCCGCAGATATTTCTTCTACCCTAAATCGGTGGGATTAATTCCGATAGTCCGTAGGATGCAATGGGGGATATCTTACATTCAAGTACGTGTATACGCGTATTTGGTAATAATTAACAATCGTTTTTGCCAATTATGAAATTGATGGACAAGATCAATTATACACAACGACTCCGGAACCCGCGGTTTACGATTGCAGAGTCGCTGAAGTGGCTAGGATATTAATGTCCAATATATTAATATATAAATGATAATCTAATAATAGTACAAGTGTTGAAGAAATGTTCAGATTAAAGAAGAAATACACTGAAGAGCTTAAGAAACTACGACTGCTTGTGTATCTTTAGATTGTTTCACTAAAATAATCGAATGGCAAGATTTTTTTCGATAAAACAAAAAACAAATTAATAATCGAATGGCAAGAATTTTGTCCCGGTTTGGTTTGTTTTCTTGCGTATGACACGAATCGCAGATTGAATAATAATAGACCAACAATAAGTCTGGTTCCAAATTATTATTGGTTTGGAAATCATATAACGCCATCTGACACGTATTTCGTCATTCCGTAGAATCATCTCCCCGATCAGCACTACTATGAATAACCTGGATCTCCTATTACAAAAAATATTTACTACATATGCGTAAAGCGTCATACAGTACGTAACAAGTAAGCGTCCACATAAACGCGCAAGCTTAGATCATTTGCATACATAAGCTTATCAAGTGGCTAGCTATTAGTAAATAATAAAAGCCGTCTGGTTTGTTTACTAAACATTCGATACTTTAGGATATGCATATTATTAGTAATCCATATTCAATTCTTATTAATTTACTTATTTCAAGCGCGCATGTTTCCAAATAATGTAAACAAGGTTTATGCACTTTCATGTACTTTATATGCTCTTTTTCATTCACCTTCTCTTCCTCACCATTACTAATTATTGTTTAATATAAGCTAATAATTAAGCTATAGCTTATCAACAGAAAACACCTCCCAATCAACCCATGTAAATCTATCTTCAGTAGACCTGATTGGAATTTGATAATTGCTCTTATTAGCAATAGGTGCATAATATCTATCAAAGTAACTACCAAAAAATAAGGCACCACTCTGACCAAAACAGGGCAAATAATTCGAATTTTCGTAAATAGCATACTTTTCATTCTTAATAAAACTTGCTATGCTCTTTTCAATATCATCCTTATTCAGCGAAAATATAAAACTTTCTCTAGTTGAAACACATCCATCATCACTAGTACTCCACGACAACGGGTTATATCCACCAAGTATTTCTTCTGTATCCTTTACTCTTCCTACAGCAATTGTCGGTCCTTTATTTGTACACATTCGCCGAAAATTTTTAGCTATTGTCTTCTTATCGTTATTATTACTATTATCTCTGCTTTCTCGATAAAGCAAAGTCAGCTTATAAGGAACAATTGGTTCACGGGCTGGACCTTGTTCAACTCGGTCACTTTGTGTTGATTCTGCGATTTTCTGTAAGATCCATAATGCTTGTTGTTTATTAATGACAACTGAATCAATATCAGGTTGCTGTACTTTCCTTTGTGGTAACATTCGCGTTTTTGGTTTATGATTATTTTGCAGATAATAAGAAAGTAGATCAGATCGTAACTCTCTTGGTAATAATTCAATATATGGAGCAACCTTTTCATTGAATACTTTAGCTGACATGTTAAAGAATCTAATATGAGGTATACATTCTGCTGTTATGTCTTTGACTGCATAAACATCAGTAAGTGACCAATTGGTTGGATTATCCGTAAGTCCAGAAATTTGATTAACAGCCCATTGTACAGCTGACATCCAAACATCACCTTCATCCATATTAAGCTCATCGCTCTTAAGAAGGTTAATGAAGATCGCTTTCGGTAATTCCGCCATGTTATTGGACTTGAGGATAATATCTGGAGATGATAACATAAGTTGATTACAATAATCTCCAAGTCTATGCAGGGAGTCTGTCGATGATGCATAGTTATAAACTGTGAGAATGTTTTGTTTTATCCATTTCTCATGTTGTTTGATCAAATAATCTCCAATCGCAGTACAGAAAGTGTTTAACCCAAGCTTATTAGCTCCTTCCAAAAGAACAATCCAAGATATACCCTCACATGAATGAGAATGCACTTTTCCTGAGTAAACGAATCTATGAGTACAAATAAGTGTGAGTACTAATCAAGATGTAAGCATACACTAACGGCAAAGGATATAGTGGATAGATTCACTCAACTAGTGGGGGACAATGTAGTGAATGAGACTTACCTAAGCAAAATTTCAAAAATATCAGGTTTAATGTCTTCGAACGCCATCGTAGTTTGTTGAATGTCGTTAGAGACCTCTGTATTTCCGGTTAGCTTGTCTTCGAAGTATGGGCACCTTGTACATAATATCAAGGAATGAGCAAGAAATATCTTGCTGTTTGGCTCTCGACCGACATGAATTGAAATATCGGTATATTTTCCGCTTTCGTAAAGCTTTTCATAATCCAACGAAACATCAGAAAGTAATTCAATTACGCTACTCATTTTCAATTGGCAAGTAAGTTGGAAGCTCGATGTAAAAATGCAAGATATTAATATCTAGTTTGCAGTGTGTGTAACATAGTAAGCAGATCGTAATATTCAGAATACTTGTAAGTCTTTCTGACATTTTTCCAGAAAATGTATGCGAACAATTAATACTGTCGAGCGAGAGAGCGTTCAGTAATTGGCCTTGGGATTTAGCTTTTTCAA